GGAAATAAAAAGGTAAGCATAAATGATGAAAAGGTAGTTATTCCTTTTTTATAAGGAACTGTATGAAGTTTTTTATTCTCAAGGAGGAGAAATTCAAAGTGCTCAAGAAGGGAAAGGACCCATAAAGGATGAAATTTTGTTAGATATGCTTAGAATTTTTAGACAAAGAATAATAAAATATTTTTAAAAATAGGAAATTACAAAAATATTCCTAAACTTTGAGATAATTACACAAATGCCACATATCACAAAATTAGATATGTAGCAGTGAAGAGTGATAAGAAAATCCTTGAATCTGCCATTTTAACCTATATAGTTCTAAACTAAATTTGAGTTTGTTCTAGAGGAGACACATCTCATCACATTAACCAAAAAGAATTCAAATTGGAGGTCGGTAGCTCGGTGATACAAGAGATATTTTCAATGAGAAATCTAGAAAACTCAATCTCCAAATCATGACAATTCTAGAAGTTACCGTGTCAGTTTAAGCTCCCTCTATATAGTATGAAGTATGACCTTTCATTTGGATCAAGAATTGAGTTAAGTTGAGCTCTCAAGTTCTACAATGGAACCGGGTGTGGAATGAGCCTATAACGCATTCCCCAATATGGATGATCATTGAAGAAGTTCAAAGAAAGATTGAAAATCTAATTCGAGCATACACACAAATTCATCGAGCAAGGCCAATCCAATTCGAATTTTCCACCTTCAGGAAACATTCTTGGTGAACACCACGAAAAGAATTAACCTCAAAAACGTGTGTAATCGAAGAAAGCCGATTTCTAGTTTAAATTGGGGTAAGTATCAAATCATATCTACAGTCTATTTTTCTTCAAAATGAGCATTCCTTTAGTTTAAGAGGATTGAGACGAGTAATTTTGATGAAGAAATCGAAAGCAAAAACGTCGTAGATCTAGCTGCCCAAAAAAGTTTAATTTGGTGTTTTTGGGTGATTTGCTGACCGAAAACAATTTCAATAAATTAAGGCTACACACTTAAAGACGCTCCACCAAACTAGTTCATTTAACTTGAGGGAATAATAAAAAAGAGATTCCCTGAAAAGCCTTAGAAATGGCTGGCCAATAACCTTTTTCTAGGTTGAGCTCCGGTATGGAAAACAATTTTTGGCGAACTTTGGAGGTGAATAACTTAAGGTACAATCCACGAGAAGGTAAGAAATCAATCCCGAATTCTTTCTTGTGACTTCATTTTTAAGTTTCATGAAGAAATCGAGGGGAGATATGCCCTAAATGGAGCTGGAACGGTGAGGTTTCAAACAGTGTGACCCGTATGTAACAACAAACAAAGTGGCAAACCCTCGAGAAATACCAATTTGGCCATGCAATGATCAACATAGACAATCCATGAAGTGATCGAGGAGGACGGTAAATCATCCAACGCACCAAGGAAAGTCGAGCTAAGGAATAGGCAAGACAGAGACAACAATTTTGACATGATTATCAAAAATAGGGTTTTTCAAGGCTAAGGTAGGGCCCCGAGCATTAACCTATAAAGCTTGAGTTTTAGAGAGAATTTGGGTATGTAGTTTTGGAATTAAATCCATCTATATGAAATATTAAAGTTCACAAAAATTTGCATCCATCGAAGACCCTAAGGGTTTGAAATGCCTCAAAATGACAACGTATGATTGTTTGCCTAAATCATGTCCACATTTGACATATTTGAAATGCCTCAAAATGTACATTAGTGGGAGACATTGTATAAACTCTCCACCACCCCTAGACCCTGTTGCCTAAGTGAACTATGTTGTGGTATATGCGTGTGTCACAGTGAAGGTGAACATTGCTAGACGTATGCCTCGTGTGACTTCCATTGAAGATGTTGTTTCAAGAATAGTATTTGTAATGCCCTATTTTTTTTTAGCCGAAATGAGTGGTGTTACCATAGGCATGGTTTAATCTCATATGCCTAGGTTCATAATAAATATTTTAAAATAAATTTGTGGACTTATACATTTAATTTAAAACAATAAATTAAACACAATATAGTTTTTAAATAAATAAAAAAATTGCATTAAAAACAACTACCAACTACTAAATAAAGTTCAATGCGTTCTACTACCGTATCATGCCCTCTTCTAACTTCCATAGCCTTTCTAGCGTTCACCATCATCCGTACGTGGAACTTTACCTTTACCTGTAAAGTATAAGAGTAGCACGTGGCTTGAGTATTTTATGAAATACTAAGTAAATCAACTCAAATTTGGGCTTATCAATGCAATCACACACATAACATGATTGAGACCTATCTTAAAACCGTCACATGTGCTTGGACTATTTTCAGTTCCGAGCAGGGTAGGATGTGTGGTAACTTGTTCTACTAAGTCTACGAACAATTCTACTAAAATTACTATATAAGTTAGTACCTCCTTATGCTAGCTCTTGTTTATTACCTCACACCCACTTTGTGAAAAATATTATAAGTAGAAGATTACTAATCCGTAGCTTGTTTACGTTTAATTAATACATGTTCGGAGCAGCAGTGTCAATCCTAATTATAGGTGACAAATATAGAAACCTATATATAGAGTAGATTAGCGTAAAGAAAAAGAAAGTTGCATGAGGAAGGTATAATAGAAGTGAAACTTCGTGATTTGGTGCGAGCGGGAGCAACCTTCATAATCTATAAATCTACAGGAAGGGGCAAACATATTACATTAGGGGAGATATTTTCTGATATCTTTGGTCATCTTTGTATATTTTCTTTATACAATAAGATATAGTTACGGTTGTATTTATTTGTTGAATGAGAAAAAGTTTAAAAGTTAAACCCTAAGACGGGAAAAATGTAAGGTTGAGAAGCATTGATAATTCAATAAGTATATTTAAACTAATATGACTGAAGGTTAGTCGAGAGAGCCGTGAGAAGAAACTGACTCACATAAGTTTATTAGCGCATCATAAGGATGTTAGGGGAGAGTCACCACCCATGGTACTTTGGAAAATAAATAAACTAGCATCTTAAGATTACATACCCTATCCACCCATCTTAATGGGATTCGATCTTGTTATTCATGACTCCTCTCTACTATATCCCACTTATGACATAACCGGGAAGAGGAGAGACCAACGACGAAGCTACTAGCTACTAGTTGGAAAGAAAAGGACAAAAACATTTTTCCCTAATGAAAAGGAATCACTCCAAAGAAAAGTAAAATTTGAATTACCATATCAATCAAATATCTCACATTTGATTAAGATTTGAATCACTCAACAAAAAAGATAGATCATATCATACTTGTATGACTCTAAACATACGGTCTAAACTATATAAAATTACAAAATAACTTAGCCCTCAGCTAAAGAAGAACAAAAATGCATTTTTTACTAAATTTTTCAAGTCAAATTTACAAACACAACATACATGGCTTTATATAAACTCAAAATTAAAATCCTTAACCTTATGAGTTATTTTAAGAGGGGTAACTTTCATATTTTATGACCTGAATTATCGTCCACCCAAAATTTGTAACTATCTAAGAACAAATGAATCTTAATTCTTCTTTAGAGTGACATGAATGGTAACCTATTGTTATAATTTAAACAATATTTTCCTTATAGTTTATAACGTATGATTGATGTCTTGGTTCATATCAGATAGTATATATTTTCACTTATACTTGTGATTATTTACACCTTTTTTTATATACATTCACAAGCTATGAGTAGTAGAATGTTGAGTTCCTAAACAACTTCGAAGGGATAAAATTACAAAAATATCCCTATTAAGTACGTAATTTGAATGAATTAAGATCATATATGAAACTTATATAGTTAAGCCTATGTGGTTGGAATAGAGCTTACAAATCTCACATTGTGACTTGTACCTTAAGTTTTGAGAAGAAACTTTAGAGTTGGAACGAAAGAACTTACGAACATAAGATGTCGCTCAAAGGTCAAGAACCATGTAAGATAGGTTGGTCCCCAAGAAAGTAAAACTCAAGTACTAAGCCACTAAGACTACTATGTTCTACTCTAACGATAATTTAAGTCACTCTATTCTTTCCACCATGATTTGCATTATGATCACATGTTTTTCTCGCCTAGATCCGATGCCCTACAAATGTTTCTTGTAGGATATCGTGTCCATGTGTCAAGAACCTATGTTTCTTACTAAGATATTCTAACCATGTTTTATTAGGAGCATGTCCTCTCTCTCTAACAAGTTTAGGTTCATTACATTCTCCAACCATTTGACCTTTTTAAGTGTACCCGAGTAGTTTTTGGAGGACACAGAGTAGGTTCAAGGATTGACCAAGTATCATGACTCATGACACATGATTTAGGACCAAGATCATCATGAGAAGAAACTATGATAAGCTCTTGGTCAAATCATAGAGATACTACCTTAGCACCCACCATGGACACGATTAAGAACCCATAAGTAGACTACAAAGAGCTGCGACAACCTTGGTTTTCACCACCAAACATGATCTCAAAACTACAAAGAATTACAATAACCTTACTATTTATAATGATAACAAATGTGGTTTCAAAACTACAAATACTATGACATCTTTATCCCTCATGCTATAAATGGGTTGTATGAATGAGGCAAGTAATCTAATCAAGTACAATTCACTGAAAAGAAAATATCTACGATGTTATAAAATAATAATATTGAGTTCATGAAATAACATAAAATATCAACTTATTGCACATAAAGTACCATAGGCTAGCAATGGTATGTTTATATTGGCAGCAATGGTATGTTTTTATATAAAATATAATTATTCTTAATCATCCTCAAATGAAGGGAGGGAGAAATTAGAAATTGAATAGTCAAACATTCTATACTTGGAATACTCCCAAACCCACAAAATTTAACACCCTTTCTAAATTTGGTGGTCTTTTCTAGATATAGTTTTCCCATCAAACTATATATAGGGCTTCACATTGTAAGAAAAATCCAAGCACCAACATCTTAGCAATTGCTGCTCTTCATCATTTGTGAAACGAGCTTGTAACCTTACAAGCCCAATGGCCATTGGCAAAGGTTTCAAGCTCTTTCATACCCTTTTCTTAGTGATTTCTTGGCAGTATTGTGCAAAAGTGGGTGCCACTTTTAGTGATGTCACTGGTGTCGTAAATCTCGATCATCAATTTTCATTTCGTGCCTTTGCATCACATGACACACAAGCACAAGATGGAAGCATTGCTCTAACCCCGGAGGCTGCATTAGATGGAAGCATTGCTCTAACCCCGGAGGCTGCATTAGATGGAAGCATTGCTCTAACCC